GGGAAAGAGAAATGTAGGGTCTAATAGTAACCACTTGCATGGACCATGGTGCCATGAGGTATCATGATGTTCTTGCCTAGATTTAGCTGTCCCTAATCACAAGTTCCAAGATAATACAATATAATTTTAGTGCATTTCTCCTCATCAGGAATGTTGGAGGTGCATTTTAAGTTTAAATCAATCATCAATGCTAGAATGACCAAATTGCAGACTAATTGTTTTCCATATTATACTTAAAATGAGTTTTTAAAAATGAAAAAGATGACAATAAACAATCAATGCTATTTATTGTACCTCTGGGCCTACTCTTCTAAAAACTGTAGCTTATCAATTTTTCTCTGTCAAGCTTGAACCAATGTAAATACTTGAAATAATGTAAAGTTATATTTTCATGTTTTTATAGATACAACATGACAAGAATACATAATGTAAGAGTATTTCAACTATGGATAATGTTGATTGGATAATGCACATCTCAGTTACAAGCAGTAATCATAGTATAATATCCATGTAACGGTGCATCAATATATTGCTATATAAATATGTCTGTGTGCATCTAAGTGAAAAGTGGTCAAACAGAGTGATGACAGCTGTCTAAAGGTTTTTTAAATTCATTTTATATAAAAACTGTTATGGAAAGACCAAAATGTTTATGAACTATTCTTATGTAAATTTACAACTGTCCTTTACTGTACTTTTTTGTTTACAGTATATGGTACCTTATTTTCTGCTGTGTTAAGTGGGCGTCAGACTCCGAGGAGACATACACTTTCTACAACTTCTATTGAAGATATTGGAACTTCAGTTTTTCATGTGTACTGTGTCAGAAAATGCTTTTGATTTTATTTTTAAATCTAACATCAGATGGCTTTTTCGGAGTGTTGTAAAAACTTCAATCATATATAAAACATGTTCTTACAAAAGGCAATGATCTTTATTTATTTTTACTTGATAGTTCTTAAAACTAATAATAATGAGAAACCAAAAAAAGGTACTTCAGTGTATTCCCAAACAAACCCAGGTGTTTCTACTCAACAAGGACCTCCTTTGCTCAGTTTATACATCAGCTCGGTACAAATATAAGAAAGGAAAAATAACTTTTTTTTTAAGCTGAAGTGATTAACATTTTCAACATTCCAAGCTTACAGTCATTAAGTGCTTTGGGCATATGTAGAAATATTACTATTAATTAATTTTAGTTCTCCTTTGGCACTGTATGTTGTCAGCTCAGCTGCTGTCATAACGGTGTTAAAGAGCAGAAAGGTGACTTGCTTTAAAAGTTCCACAAGGTAACACATTTCCCAGCTCACATGTTTCAACAAAGTTTTCATTTCCTGCTTTACTGAAAGAGAGTATTGATGAGAAACTAAAACTCTTGCAGTTTTGATTCTCTTTTTACAAAGGTGATCATTTTAATATTTAGGTATATTCTAAAATTAAGGCATTTTAGTTCTTCACAATTGCACATTAAAATTTCTTGTATAGAGTTTTGCGGTTTGAATATATTTAATGTTTAAAAGTAGAGTATACCAATGCATCTGCTTAAAAATACAGTAATCTTGATAGTCTGCCATCCTGAGTTTGCAAATTCTATAAATATTTTGGTGCTCATGGTAGTAGATTGGGCAAATGAAAGGAAGCATTAGCAATATAATAACCCTACAGGATGATTTTAATACAACACCTTGACAGCGCCATTAAAGAAAACACTTACTGAAACAATTAGAAAACAATACAATGTGGTTTCTTCCCATTTTTTCTATTTCCTATCTCATCATATCCTAGCCTTATCAGCCCAGTAAATTTAAACAAAACTCAAGTATCACTTCTACCTTAAAATGTATTTGTGGGTCTTTAAACCTGTTTTAGGCTGGATAAGAGTTTATTTATTGCACTTGGAGAGCCTGCTAGTCTGTCGTGTAAAATCCTCATGTAATTCAGGCAAATATTCCATTTTCTTCTAATTCAAATGATATAGGTAGGTGTATGGATTGAATTAGTCGCATACATTCTATATTGCCAACTTTAACTGATGATGTAAGGTTTATTAGTAATATATTATGAACTTGGGAGAGTTTATTGGTTAAGTTCCACAAATTTTATATGAACTCTAAATAAGCTTATTAAAGGAAACAGAATGATGTAAATATCTGTTTAAAAGTAGAGTAAATTTTGTGTAAAGTGTTCCAATATTTAAAATTGGTTTATTTTTAAGCTCCAACATGAAAAATGGGTAAGTATAAATGAATCATCAAGATACTCTGAATGAGAATGTGGGGTTGTATTAAATGGTTTGTGACAGTTGTATCAAATTTTTTAAAAGGAAGTATTCATTCTCTCAATGTGTTGGTTTGGTAAGACCATGACACTGGGAATTCTATTGGCTACTAATCAATAAATTATCTATTTCTATGTTTCAAACAAGAACAACTCATAGATAGTATATAGCATTCTAAGTACATGAAGGTTCAAACATATTTATGTATAAATGAAGATATGCAAAGCACAGACTAACACAAATGACCTAATATCCAATGCAGGTAGGAAAGTGCCTGGATCATACGATTTTTTGTTTTGTTTTTGTTTTCTTTTTTTCGCGGTACGCGGGCCTCTCACTGTTGTGGCCTCTCCCGTTGCGGAGCACGGGCTCCGGACGTGCAGGCTCAGCGGCCATGGCTCACGGGCCCAGCCGCTCCGCGGCATGTGGGATCTTCCCGGACCGGGGCACGAACCCGTGTCCCCTGCATCGGCAGACGGACTCTCAACCACTGCGCCACCACGGAAGCCCTGGATCATAAGATTTTTGTGTCTGTGTTTTATATCCTGTTTCTATTCCTTTCCTTCTCGCTTCACCATTTTACATTCTCTTCCTGCCCTTATGTACAACTGCAATTTTTCATATGTTATACTTCAAATGGTATCCAGTTTAAAAATTTCATGCATCTTGCCCTTTGGCTTTTATTCCGTGGTATCCCATCTATTTCTGACTTGTCTTTCCTGAGAGATTTTGCTTTGAGAGCACTTAGAATGCAGTTCATTTTGTCAAAGACAAGACTGACAGTCTCAGAGTCTTAATAACCATACAAATGACTAAGAATTTCTGGAGTGAAGTAAAAATTTCCTGCT